CACACACACACACATCACTCATTCATACACACTCTAGAGCACACACACACACACACTAACACACACGCATCACTCATTCATACACACTCTAGAGCACACACACACACACACTAACACACACGCATCACTCATTCATACACACTCTAGAGCAGACACACACACACACGCATCACTCATTCATACACACTCTAGAGCACACACACACACACACTAACACACACGCATCACTCATTCATACACACTCTAGAGCACACACACACACACACACACACACACGCACACACACATACACACACACATCACTCATTCATACACACCCGCAAGCATAAACTCACTGTTTATTCTCCCTCATGTCCCTCCAAACATGCAGGACTTTTCTTCCTCTGTAGAACGTAACAGCAGATATTTAGAGAAATGTTCTGTGTTTTTTTTTGTCCAGTGTTGTTTAGTTCCTAGTGTTCTTCAAAATATCTTCTTCTAAGTTTCACACAAGAAAGAAACAGCCGGTTCATAGCAAAAATGATAACCACATTAGTGTCAACACAGACACACTATAACACTGTTTATTATAACTCTCAGTTTTGTTGTCTGCCATTTTAAAGGCTCATGTTGTATGGATTCTGATTGGCTGTCAATGTTTTAATCGTTCGTTAGCTGTAAAAATCACTCTGAAAGTTATTCCAGCGATATCCTCTGTTGATATTGTTATAGTTGTGCTGTGAACTTCACCTTTCTCTTATAGTTTGATCAATTAATAAAGCTTCATAGTTATAGTTATTGTTACAGTTATTGCAGTTATCGTTGCTGTATTGTTACAGTTATCTTTTCAGTTATTGTTGCAGGTATTGTTACAGTTCTTGTTATAGTTGTTCTTACAGTTATTGTTACAGTTATCATTGTAGGCATTTTTATAGTTATTGTTACAGTTATTACAGTTATCATTGCCAGTATTGTTACAGTTATCATTGCAGGTACTTTTACAGTTATTGTTACAGTTATTACAGTTATCGTTGCAGGTATTGTTACACTTATTGTTACAGTTATCATTAGTTATTGTTACAGTTATCTTTTCAGTCATTGTTGCAGGTATTGTTACAGTTATTGTTATATTTGTTCTTACAGTTATCATTGCAGGTACTTTACAGTTATTGTTACAGTTATTATAGTTACTGTTGCAGTTATTGTTACAGTTATCATTACAGGTATTGTTACAGTTATATTTGTTCTTACAGTTATTGTTACAGTTATCATTGCAGGTACTTTTTCAGTTATTGCACAGTTATTATAGTTACTGTTGCAGTTATTGTTACAGTTATCATTA